CGGAATTGCTGTTGTCGTTCCGTTGGCAGGAGAAAAGATTTTATTACGTAATTCCTCCGCCTGCGCATCAGTCATTTGACAGCGACTTTTCTTCACCTGGGGAAGTAAATCAAAACCAAGATCATTGTTAGTCTAGAAGTAAAGATTCCTTTTCAGACTTCCAACAGTTTTCTTTGAGCAAGTCAGCCATTTTACGTCAGTGATTTGTGATACCTATTGTCGCGTAGTGACTTTAATTTCCAACACTGAAATAGTCACTGCCCACAAAACTCTCACGCGGAACTTTGATGTTATTTTTCAACTCCAATATTAAACTATTATTATCACTCAGTTTCGCCTTTCAACTATCCATTAATGTATCATTTTAGTCCTGAAACATTTACCGCTCTACAACATCATCTGTTAACTATAATTATTATGGAAATTGTTATATTAACATAAAATGACTGACTGATAAAATACAATAAAGGTTAATTGCGAATCCTTTACAGGGCGTTGCAGAACCAACCCCAACAGCCCCTGGCTTTTGTGTGGTTTTTCTAGGCAAATTTACGTCCAGTAGTTTTTGATACCACTGTTGAAACCAACGCAACGCGCATGGCCCGCAGCTGGTATCAAACCCGGCATCCCAGCATAACGAAGCGTTCGCATCGACTTAGCCACAGAGCCGACGATAAAATACAATAGCGGTCTGAAATATGAGTGTTTGGAAGGGCCGTATGTAAGACGGGCCTACGTGCTCAATCTGTGATCCTTTGAAAAAAAAAGTCTTTATTTTGTTCGTTTTTAAACCTTCCTGGACATCTTGGCTTTATAATCAACCAAGCCTTTTGTGACTTCTGGGGATTTTCCTTAGCGGTGAAGGTGGAAAGTGTAATATTGATCTAACAGCTTGTCCGTTGATCTATAAATATGAGACCAGCACTACATATCCAAGATGGACTACGTCACACTTGACTCCGGAAATATTCTCAACGTGACCTAGCTTCACAAACATGATTGGCCACACCAAATATAACAGCTTCCTCCACTTCCTTTATTTAATTTTGAAGACGTAAATCGTACTAAAGATTTGGATAAACAAAGTATACGTTAGCTTTACATTAATTACAAGGAAGCTACAAACGAAAACATCAAATTCATTCATTCATTCAGTAGCATGTCCCTCGCGGAACCTCGCTGCCATAACAACCCTCCGGAAAACCTTCCTATCCTGAGCAAGATGTCCTGCGTCTGATACACCCATCTGGAGATCATCTGCCACATCCTGCATCCATCTTCTCCTTGGCCTTCCTCTTCCTCTCTTCCCAGGCATATACCCCTCCATTATTGTTCTCTCTAGACTTCCATGACGTTTCAAGTTACCAAAATATTTCAATTTTCTTTGTTTTATTGTCTTTTCTAGCCAACCCTCTTCAATATTCAGCTCTTGAAGTATGGATGCATTTGTTCTTTTCTTTACCCAAAATATTCTTAGAACCTGTCTGTAACATTTATATTCAAATGCATTTATGCGCTGTTCCGCTAGTTTAGTAAGTGTCCAGGTCTCACAGGCGTATGTTGCAATGGGAAAGATGCATGCTCTTAAAAATCTGACCTTTGTAATTCTATCTGTGCAATTCCATAATTTATTCAGTTGTTTTAGTCTTTGAAGAGCAATTGATAGTAGCCGTTTAATTTCTTTCATTGTGTCACCATTGTTGGTAACCAGTGACCCAAGATATTCGAAATTTTCCACCACTTCCAATCTTTCCTCATTAACATATATTTCCTTCTCCATGGCAGTTTTGTTTGTATGCATTATCTTTGTTTTTGCTATGTTAAGAAATAAGTTATGATTTTCACTATTTCTTTGGAGTGAGGTTAATAAGTTTTCTAAACCATTTTGTGATGTTGATAGTAATACTGTATCATCAGCATAACGAATTTCTGGTATTTCATGACCACCGATGTTTAGGGCATCATATTGTTCCTTGTTTATATCATCTCTTACATTTCTCATTATATTTTCGGCGTACAGGTTGAACAAATACGGTGACAGCACACATCCCTGACGGACTCCTTGCTTGATGCCAAACCAGTCTGATGTCTCTCCATCTATTCTGACTGCTGCTTGTTGGTCTTGATAGAGCATTTTAATGAGCTGCACTATATGTGATGGAAAGCCCATATTCCTCATGATTTCCCAAAGCTTCTGATGTTGTACACAGTCAAATGCTTTTGAATAATCCACAAAACATAAGAACAGATTTACATAAATTCTCTACACTTCTCTATTATTAAACGCATGTTGAATATATGATCTCTTGTTTCCTCTTCCCTGTCTAAATCCAGCCTGAGCTACATTAATCTCTTCTTTCCATTTTCTTATGCAGTCTTCTCATTATGATTTTTAGTAGAATTTTACTTGCATGACTGATCAGGGCAATAGTTCGATAGTTTGTACATAATTTCAGGTCACCCTTTTTTGGTATTGGAATGAAGATAGTTCTCTTCCAGTCTTTGGCCAAATACCATATTTCCATATCTTTTCACATAATGCATGATAGATTTTTATGCTTTCTTCTCCTCCCGCTTTAATCAATTCAGCTGGTATCTCATCACATCCAGGTGATTTACCATTTTTCAGGCTCCTTATTGCCCATGAAATTTCATCTAATGAAGGTTCAGGTTCTGCCTCTACTGTTACTGGTTCATGTATATCATTCATATCCTCACTGTCATTCATATCATACATTCCGCTGCAGTATTCCTGCCATCTTCCTAGAATTTGTCTAGATTCTGTTAAAGTATTTCCCAACCTGTCACAAATAACATTTAACTGAGGTTGAAAATTTCTTGTCAATAACTTCATTTCCTTGAACATTTCGTAATCTCTTCCATTTTTATGATGCTGCTCTATTTTAATACAGCAATCTTGTACCTACTGATTTTTATCCTTTCTTGTGTACTTTCTTATTTCTCGTGTTAAAAATTTATACTTCATCCTACTGTCATTGGTTTCTCCTTTCTTTTTCAGTTCCCTTCGTTGTTTTATTAGTTCTAACGTGTATGGTGTGATCCATGGTTTATGTTGCTTAGTCCTGGTGGGTATTAAGTCTTTAGCTGCTGTTATCAAGATATCCCTAGCTTGTACCGCCAGTTCATCAGGTGTCATTTCCTCTTGTACAGACATCAAGACCTCAAAACGGTTAACATCAAATTACATATATATATATATATATATATATATATATATATATATATAGAGAGAGAGAGAGAGAGAGAGAGAGAGAGAGAGAGAGAGAGAGAGAGAGAGAGAGAGAGAGAAAGAGTTAAGACCGTATTTATCATTTGTTGATAAAATCACCATTGCGTTCAACGCAAGTCTCTAGTGTCAATAAAATGTTTATTCCTGTGTCAAACAAATATCCTAATCCCGTGTGTAACCACTGATACACCATCTGCCCTGCCTCCTAATCAGATAGAAAAATCTTTCCTCCTGGTGACTCTTTGAGTTGTCTAAACATTGTTAGGTATTACCAGGACAAGGAATGCGCTACACACCGACAGTGGAGGTCTTCGGTGGTCCTAACTGTTCACGGACAGTATATGTTGAGTATTGTCATGGGGCAAAATGACACCTGTACTCAGAAGTCCGAATCGTTTTTTATTTGATTGTGGGTCGAAGATGATTCCTGAGAAGCTCTGTATACTGATAGTGAGCCCAGATTTTATCTCCAGAAGCATTTCTTGAAGGGAAACCATCACATCACACTCTGCTTCGAATCACCGCAAAGGTTTATGGCAAGCATCGCTACGCTGTTGTTTTTTCTTCTTCTGTGTTCGCCGGCTGTAAGCTCCAGTAATTGTGCTAGTTGTCCGTCCATTTGGACTTTTGCTTTGGGCCAGGAACTGAGTTTTACGTGTACATCCGTTTTACTGGCTTATTTGTGTGCAGTTGGTTGTTCCTTGCCGCTCTGGCAGATGCACTCCGACTTCGAAAGAAGTCCCTAATTAGCCGACTCACACAACACGCTTGTTGGAGAGGCAGTGGGTTTGTTTTCCCCACAATGGGGCCCCGGAACCCAAACGGGTAGCTGCTTTTTTCAATTCTAGAATAAGTTGTCGTGGCACTCAGCTTGCAGGTCTTTTTCTAGCTTTCTAACTCCCCATCGTGCATAGGCGCTCAACCAACACACGCCAAGTCGTTTTGTCCTTCTATATTGCATGCAGCTCTTCCCGTGTCCTCTCCATCTTGTTAACCTCACTCTCTAGCTCCCTTTTTCATGTTTTTTTTTCATGTTTTTTTTATCTGACTTGATTTATATGCTTCTGTGGGTTCCAGTGCAAAGACATTCTAGTTATACTGTTCTCAGGTTTTCTCAACGTGTATCGTATCCAACGCCAGCGTCTTTTCTTCACCTCTTGGTCCACTGAAACCTGTTTAATTCTCCCCAAACGTTCCTCATTAGTGATTCTATCATACCAGCTAATTCCCTCTATTCTGCGCAGGTATCACTTTGTAGTTTATTATTTATTGCCTTAGCTGATCTCCATGTTTCCGTTCCATACAACAGTACTGATTTGACATTATGAGTTAAAGATTGTTTATTTAGTAATAGTTTTAATTTCTTTTTACCTCCACAAATTTCCCAGTGCTAAACAACGTGTAACATTGCACCTTACCATGCATGTCATAAGATGCAACTAAAGATGGTTGGGTAGAAAACGTGCAACATTGCAACCTACCATGCATGTCACAAGATGCAATTAAAGAGGATTGGAGCAGACAACTAGTAGTATTGCAACTTACCATGCATGTCATCAAATGCAACTAAAGAGGGTTGGGGTAGAAAATGCAGTAAGCAGAACTTACTTTGCATGTGATAAGGTGCGACTAAAGAGGGCTGGGGTATAATGCATGAACAAAACTACGAAAGGCTTGACGCGAGTTGGTTCAGGACCCAAAACGCGATTACCAGATGAAAGACCGAGTAGTCAACGAGTAAAGGAAGTACCTGGATGAGACTCTCCACGGATTCCTTGCTCTGTTTGATTGAGGGACTGACTATCCTGACCATGTAGTCCACCAGGTGGCTGCCGATGTTGAGCACGCCGCCGTATTCGTTGACTTCAGTGATGGAGGCCAAGGTCATTCCTGGAATCAATATTGTCAGTTTGGAGTGACAAAGTCTGTTGCAATATTGTGTATTGCACATAACACATCTCAGCCAGTGCTGGATGTAAGCAGACGCTAAGTCACCTACAGATCAGGACCTCACAATCAACTTAATCATAATAGTAATAATAATAATAATGATAACAATAATGATAATAATGATAATGCAAGAAAATAGTTGAACATAAATTTCCCAGAAATGTTCTTATTGTCATAATATATTTTTGGGAGTAGATTATGTCAGGTTTTTATTTATTATAACTTGCTGCAGCCTATTTACAATCATTTTTCAGCTTGATACCGGCTAACTTCTACCTGTTATTTACTGATATATTTTAAATGATTCCGAGATTAACTGATGTAATTTACAATGGTAGGAGCCTCGGGGCTTTATATAGTTTAGGGCCTCATGTAGTCAAACTCTGGCTTTGATCTCATTGTTAGTCGATTAGGAGCTGTTGGTGATATTTTACATGTTAATTTGAATAACGACAGTTCATCTAACAAGATCATATCGTTATAGAATTTCTTCTTTCGTTCGCTTGAAATATATTGACTAAATCCTAAATGTTGTCATTTGTATTAAGTTCTGTTTATTTTAACAACATTTTCATTGCATTTATGACATTTCAATGCTACATAACCACATGGCAAATGCGCTGACTCCACAAGGTCACTAACAACACAAGAAGAGACAGGGTTACGAATACCAGCATTAAAGAAAAAGTTGGAATAAGACCCTTTCTAGATTATATTGACAGACAAAGAATGAAGTAGTTCGTCATCTAGTGGGAATGCAGCCAGACCACACTGCAGTTGAGACTTTTTACAGCAGAATATCTGGGATGAAGGCGAGAGAAAGACCAAGAAAGAGATGGATAAATGGTATAGCTGAAACCTGCACAAAGATGAAATCCATCACCCAAGCCACCTTAGAAGTACAAGACTATAATACAGAAAACGATGACCCTGGGTTACAACCTGGTATCAGTGAGACGACAAAACAAGAAGAATACGAATATACTCAGAGCTATCGAAAATACACTAGATCAAAGTTTGTCGATAGACAGTACTACCAAGGCGTGAATTATTTTCAGAGTTATTAGTGCGATTCGAATTTTTCACTTTAAACTTTTCTAATTACACCAGAAAGCTTGTATAATATTTAACTTCCAAGCCAGCCACGTCAGAGCAGTGGTTAGCTCGATTCTTGTCGGTCTGGTGGCCGTTTGTTCGATTCTTCAACTAGGAGATTTTTAGACAAGATCTGGGCTTCTAGGTCAATGGGAACCACCCTGGTGTGGCGGCTAAACACTAGCCTGCGGATTAGAAGATCAGGAGTTCAGAAGCTAACGCAGTCGGAATTTTTTTTTTTTTTAATGACCTCGACTGTCATGTCGACCCAGCCTCAAATAGGTACCAGCTAGAGTCCTGGTAAGTAAAGGCGGTCGGTGTGATACCCATTTAAGGCTGGGTCCCAAGGTTATTTGATTTTAAAAAAAGGTCAGACTCCGCCAGGACCTGAACCCATGACCTTCCTACCAGCAGAAGAGTTTTAACCGCTACACATCAGCGGCTCCTATTTGTGGGACTAAGGAACACACAGAGGGGAGTCGCCGTGGCCATGGCGGCTAGACGCTCGCCTGCGGATCGCAAGGTCGTGGGTTCGGGTTCTGATGGAGCCGGACTTTTTTTTTAATGACTCTAACTCCCAGGTCGACCCAGCCTTGAGTAGGTACTAGGTGCAGTCTTGGGAAGTAAAGACGGGCGGTGTGATGTTGAGCACATCATATCACCCACCTAGTGCCAATTGATCTACAAAAATATAGGTCTAGCCTTATATGCCCAATACGCCTAAAGGCGTGGGAAGTGTCCTTTACTGGTGTCTAAACAGATACGTGTGTATACATGTAGTTGTGTGTGAGTGTGGATGGATAGTAAGTGTGGAGTAGTTGTGTACATTGTGCATGTGTGGATGGATATGTGTGTATACATGTAGTTGTGTGTGAGTGTGGATGGATATGTGTGTATACATGTAGTTGTGTGTGAGTGTGGATGCATATGTGTGTATACATGTAGTTGTGTGTGAGTGTGGATGGATATGTGGGTATACATGTAGTTGTGTGTGAGTGTGGATGCATATGTGTGTATACATGCATATGTGTGGTATACTGTAGTTGTGTGTTGAGTGAGTGTGGATCATATGTGTGTATACATGTGTTAGTTGTGTGTGAGTGGTGGATATGTGTGTATACATGTAGTTGTGTGTGAGTGTGGATGGATATGTAGTTGTGTATACCAATATGCCTAATATGTTGCGGGTGTACAAGGGTCCTGTGTTTAGTGTGGTGAATGTGGATGGATGTGTGTATACATGTAGTTGTGTGTGAGTGTGGATGGATACGTGTGTATACATGTAGTTGTGTGTGAGTGTGGATGGATATGTGGGTATATGTTTTTGCACTTTCAAGCTTAGGTGCCCATAAATATATATGTATGTGTCAATGTGAGGGTGTGTGTGTAAATGTACACTTGAGTGTGTGATTTGATTACAGATAGACCTAGGTGAAGACTATATGCATGTAAACGTGTGTGTATGTGTGTGTAGGGGGATGCATGTGAGGGCGTTAATAAAAGAGTTTACTATTCGATGATGCTATGGTAAATCTGTTTGACAGCATAACGTCTTGCTTTGATTTTGACAGTGGTAATGACAGCTGACCGTTCAATAAGCAATGGCAAACTACTGAATATAAAATTTGCCTTAAAAAACTACAACAGACAAAAAATGCTGGGGTTGGTTTTGCATTGTCCTTTAAAGGATATGCAACTACGTTTAATTGTAGCAAATGTATCAGCATCACTCACCAGTAGGATCATGCAGGGTTGTAATGATTCTTCCCATGCCGTCTAGTTCCACGACAATGCCCCATTTGGTAAACATATCTCTGATGGTCTGCTTTGACATCCTCTACAGGATTATGACAAACAGCATTTAAAATTAATACAACATAATGTCTCTAACATATGTCTATTGCACACACAAAGAAGACGAAAGCTGTTATAGATCCTCTTCTCCTTCGATCCTCTTGTCAGAAAACTTATATCAGGAGCTATCGTACCATACAGCTTTGTCTTCATTTTGTATGGAACAGACCATATTGCGTCTCTGTTGCCGCATATAGTTGACAGTGTAGGAGCACATGCCCAATATTTTATGCTGCTAAGTTGCAGACGTAGTAGAGACACGTCTCCGTATTTCCTAGTCCGAAAAGTTTGAACATATTCTCGTAAAGTTGTTGTCTCATGTCCTTAGTCTGAATATATTTTTCTTTTCGTTCTTCCGAGTGGCATAAGTGTGTTGTGTCTGTTTACAGCAGAGCTGCGATATTTGCGCCTTTTGGTCGACACATCCGACTTAATCGATCATCTGTTGACCGAGTTAACTTCCCGGATAGTTTCGTGCGATAGCAGCATGTTCTGGCCTTTTTTGTGTGATGTCTTCTTTGTCCTCTTATCCACAAGTCTTGCTCCTGGAGACCACGTCCAGGGCATCCACGCGTAGACAGTTCGGACCTAAAAAACATCAACAGGAAAGCAAATTCTTGTGTTCCTGTCTTGTGGAGGTGTGCTTTAAGACTTATGTGTTCTGTCCGCAGGCTACACAATTATTATATGTTGTTTCCTGTCATGTTCCTCGTGGATGCAAAACAAGAACAGAACTAGTCAACTTCCCAGTAAAAAAAGTAATGACAGAAGTTGCCGCTAGTCGTCATACGCATATAACATTAGCTCTAGAAACATCTCAGACCGTCTCCACCTGACGGGCCATGTTGTTGACGTCACCAAACCGGGCTAATGATAAGTTGGACAGGTTAAACCCCTTAATTTGAATTTGATATCTGCTGGAAACTATGTTTTCTATAGGTAGATAGGTACATCCTGTTAAATTTATGTGCATATTTTCATTAAGCCATCTTTATTAGTTTTTTTAAATATCTTGGTAAATGTTGAGTACAAATTTAGCTATTTTCCGCATAAAATATTACATTTTCTATAAATGTCCGTGAAAATGTGTTGCTTTTAGCCACACAAAAATAATTTTTCTTTCATCTTTAACTAGTATGTACCTATAGAAAAGGGAGTCACCGTGGCGTAGCGGTTAGACGCTCGCGTGTGGAATGGAAGGTCATGAGTTTGCTCTCTGATGGAGCCGGGCTTTTTTTTTTTTAATGACCTTGACCCCAGGTCGACTCAACCTTGACTGGGTACCAGGTGCAGTTTCGGGAAGTAAAGACGGCTGGCGTGATGCTGACCACATCACATATCACCCATCTTGTGCCGTGTGATCTATAAAAATATAGGTCCAGCTTTATATGCCCTATATGCCTAAAGGCGTGGAAAAGGGTCCTTTACTTTACTTATCTATGGCAAGCATTGTTTCGAGCAGATATAATTAAATTCAATTTGGGGGGTTTGTATCGTTAGCCCGGATTGGTAACGTCAGCAGCACGGCCCATCAGATAGAGACGGTCTTGGAAACATCTAAGAGAAACAGTTATGAATTTGGGGAGGGCGTGGCAGCTGATTTGCGTTCCTTGTTTTGTGGAAATGCGTCCGATTATCGCTGGGTGGGATACAACGTGTTCCACGTCGGAGTGTGTGTGTGTGCGTGTGTGCGTTTGCGTGTGTGCGTGTCTATGTGGGTATGTGGAATGGGGTGTGTACTACGCTGGGAAAAAAAGGGCACTTAAGGGTGATCTTAAGCTTTCATAAAAATCTATGTTTCGAGAGTACAATATATTCTTTATTAAGAAAAGTTGAGGCACTGGAGGCATAACCTTTCAAACCGCCTTCGTAACACAGCCAGTTATGCAACTGTTGTATATTTTGAGTTTTGTTAGCCCATTTGACTTACTTATATTGTTAAACATGTTGAATGTAGCAGCTGGAAAGAAAAAAGGAGCCGAGAACGACCTTAGGAAACCCGGAGAAGGATATTAGAAAAGGAAATGAACAGATGTCATGTGACATTGAATACTATAGGTAGAACAGCACTGAGCCTGTAGCGGTGGAGATGACTTGTGAATGCTAGAAGTTTATAAGTGAATCACTCACCTCATTTTGTGCCCTTTTTCTTCTACTTTACGCTAAAGTAAACCATCGACATTCGGAAAATATAAAGGTCTAACCCTATATGCCCAATATAAAAAAGATTTCACCGCCCGAGCGAGCGGTGGCGGTCGGTTGCCGCTCAGGGTCAGAGCGAGTCTCCAGTGGTTTGAGGACACCTGGTGGCTCTGGTGGCTTGAGGTCAAAGTTAGACTCCCGTGGTTTCAGGTCACCTGGCGGCTCGGGTGAGACTCTTGTGTGTCCGTGAGTTTTAGGAGCAGGGATAGGTGTAGCGATTATATAGTAAAATGAAGAAAGCTAGGGTTATTGATTTACATGGCGGAGGGAGATAGAAAGTATATATATATTGTATAGTAAACATTTATAAAAGCAATGAAGTAAAGGGATATAAGACTAGCCTTATATAAGATTTATCGTAGAATAAAGAAAGACAGTGGTATTGATTTGCTTGGTGAAGATGGATAGAAAGTATATATGTTATATTAATAAAAATATATAAAAGTTATAAAATCTAGTGATTTATTTTACTAGACCTATATATATCATAAAATATAATAAAGAAAGATAGGGCTGTTGATTGGCTTGGTGGACGGGGGTAAAATGTATGTATGCTATATAGTAAAAAATTTATAAAAATAATAAAATAAGAGAGTTGTTACGGTTTCGGTTGTTAGTGGTTGAGGCGCGGTATGGTAGTGGTTTGTGGTCAAGCACCATCATGCGCCAAGCTGACGGGCCTGTGCAATCATGTCTCTTTTCTACCTCCCCCCCCCTCCTCTTTTCAGCAAGCCAATTAATACCCCTCTTTTCTGTTATCTGTTGTATAACTTATATAAGACTAGTCTCATATTCCTCTATCTTATCACTTCTATATATATATATATCTCAACTATCTAACACCCATACTTTCTATCTCCTTCCACCTTGCCATTCAATACGCCTAGCTTTCTGTATTCTATTACACAACCATCGGGTCCCTGTTTCATCTACCCCTGCTCCTAAACCGCGCGGGTCCTCTGCTGTACCGGTTCCACTACTATCAAAAACACAACGAATCACCCGTGGCGCCAGGTGAGCTCACACCATTGAAGCCTCACTCTGACCCCGAGCAGCAATTGACCAAACTGTTCTCTCAGGTGATAGAAATCGTTTGTTTTCCTCTAGCGTCATTAACTTATATCCTACTAAAGCCTCATGTTTCAACAAAGACGTGAAAATAGAATTATACAATTTCTTCCTCTTCTTCTTTTTCTTCTTCTTATTCTTCTTCTTCTTCTTTTTCTTTTTCTTCTTTTTCTTCTTCTTCTTCTTCTTCTCTTCTTCTTCTTCTTCTTCTTCTTCTTCTTCTTCTTCTTCTTCTTCTTCTTCTTCTTCTTCTTCTTCTTCTTCTTCTTCTTCTTCTTCTTCTTCTTCTTCTTCTTCTTCTTCTTCTTCTTCTTCTTCTTCTTCTTCTTCTTCTTCTTTCCTTTGTCCCCAAAGGGCTCATTATGCCCTCAGCTAACTCACGCCAAGTCGCCCCTACCCTTTTGCTACTGCATGTAACTCACTCCACGTCCACCCCATCATTTTCACTTCATTCTCTAGCTCCCTTCTCTGTGGGTTTTCTGCCTTTATTTCTATGCCCATGTAGGTTCCAGTGCGAAGATATTTTAGTTATATTGTAAATTATACAACTATGTTGTAAAAAAAAATCAAATCTGGAACAAAACCTGAATCGGACAGTAAATAAGAAACTTACACGATAACCCATATTACGGTACATGGGGTTTGCCGAGTAATCATCAACTGGATTACTGACGCCAGCGTGTCTAGCGTAGGTCATGCCGACCCAGTAGGTGCCTCGTCCCGACGAGCGGATGTTGTCTGGAAGTCCCGGCAGGTTCTCGGCGAAAGGAGTCACCTGCATCCACGAGTGTCGCTTCAAACTGACCCTGGTGATGTATTCATTCAGTTTTACAAAATTATATGAGTTAACAAACACACTTACATGAGTGTGTGTGCGAGAGAGAGAGAGAGAGAGAGAGAGAGAGAGAGAGAGAGAGAGAGAGAGAGAGAGAGAGAGAGAGTTGTCAATCCTCCAGAGTTGTATTTAAACATGGACAGGTGTTCTGTGGCAGAGAAAACATTTCGTCGCTTGCCCCACAACCCCCCCCCCTCCCCTCCCCCTCCACCCCGCTCCCCAACCCATTCCAAAAATATTTTGTGGTTTGTAGAAGGGTTGAAGTCCTTGGTATAATGGTATTATTAATAACAAAAAATGACATGTAATATGACTGCGCATTTGAACACGGCTTCATCCTTTTGAGGCCCCCGGCCCTAGAAAATGATGTGAAGAAGGGGTGTCCTCTGCCCCGGGTCCCGGGTCTATTTTCCGAGTATTCTGTTCTATTTATGTGTCATGCAACCCATTATGAACATGGATTAGACTTTGTGGATAGCATAGGAGGCCTTATGCTGATCTGTGTATGTCGAGGGACTTGCCATACATAAAAATGTCTTTCCTGTGAGTATTGTCATAAGGGTCCCTGCGGTATAGTAGTAGTAGTAGTAGTAGTACATTATACCCCACTAGGACATCACACAAGCGATAAACACCCGATGACACAAAGTGCCACCATATGGATGAGGATCACCTGTGGAGAGGTCCCGGAAACCGCACGTTCAGCCAATAGACCGTATTATGGCCAGGCTATATTGAGGCCCCTGGCAGGAGCCAGAGTGGGGCTTTAAAATAACGAAAAAATGCATCCCACAATGGGATAACTAGCAACAACAAGGGTCCATGCACACCGATTTGCCCAGAGATCCATGAGACTGTTAAAACGGCTCTGAATATAGTGGCAGATATATATACATATGTAAAATATACAGATACAAAAGTAGGCAGAAAAACATGCGTAAACAGACAAGCAGATAAACACATAACACACACAGACAGACAGACAGACAGACAGACAGACAGACAGACAGACAGACAGACAGACAGACAGACAGACAGACAGACAGACAGACAGACAGACAGACAGACAGACAGACAGACAGACAGACAGACAGACAGACAGACAGACAGACAGACAGACAGACAGACAGACAGACAGACAGACAGACAGACAGACAGACAGACAGACAGACAGACAGACAGACAGACAGACAGACAGACAGACAGACAGACAGACAGACAGACAGACAGACAGACAGACGGACGGACGGACGGACGGACGGACGGACGGACGGGCTTATTAAGCAAATACAATTAAGGTAGATAAACCTGTGAACTGCAGCTCGGCATGTTTCTGTAACAAGAAGGTCTCCATCCTGGCTCAGCTCCACACCGTTGGGGAAGTTAAAAAGTCCAGGCACCAGCTCGGACATGTATCCGTTATTTGGATGCAGTGCCACCATCCTGTGAAGTCAAGTCATATATATATATATATATATATATATATATATATATATATATATAGAGAGAGAGAGAGAGAGAGAGAGAGAGAGAGAGAGGGAGAGAGAGAGAGAGAGATAGAGAGAGAGAGAGAGAGAGTAGTTATGTGCACATATTTGTTTTGTCCTTTTTAGGACGAAATTTTTGTTATTCGAAGCCCCACCCTGGCTTTTGCCAGGGGCCGCAATATAGGCAGGCCATAATTATGGCCAATTGTCTGAACGCGGTTTCTGGGACCTCTCCACGGCGATCCTCATCCGCATGGTGGCACTTTGTGTCATATGGTGTTTATCGCCTGTGTGATGTCCTAGTGGGGTAGAAAGTCAGTCAGTCATATATATATATATATATATATATATATAGTCAGACTAAATTAGACCTAGTGCAAGCTATACTGTCGTCCCTATGTGAGATGCAGCTTTAAGTTATTTTGAAGCCCCACCCTAGCTGACTGACTGAATTTCTACCCCACCAGGACATCACACAAGCGATAAACACCCGATGACACAATGTGCCACTATGTGGATGAGGATCACCGTGGAGAGGTCCCAGAAACCGCGTTCAGACAACTGGCCATAATGATGGCCTGCCTATATTGCGGCCCCTGGCAAAAACCAGAGTGGGGCTACAAATAAAAAAAAATTACGCCCTAATAAGGACGCATGAATACCCCCACCCTAGCTTTTGCCGGGGGCCTTAAATATGGCTAAACGGTTGAACGGGGTTTTCGGGACTTCTCCACGGATGATCCTCATCCGCATAGTGTCACCGAGTGTTTATCGCTTGTGTGATGTCCTGGTGGGGTACAGCTTACCTACCTAGCCTTAGTATATTAGAGTTAAATCTACTTTTTCTGGAGAACACCAGTTTCCGTCACGATAATGAAGAGTAAAGGTAAACCTCGACTAATCTGATAACATCAGAGTTGACAGTTTCCCAATGTTGATGACTCTATAATTTTATCAGTTCAGAAACTGATAGCATGTAAGTTATTTTTAATTTCATATTTCAAAGTGAATTTATATTTATTTATTTTATCAATATTTTCTTTAGAACAATGGTGGCTTCCCATAGTTGGCCGTGCTTAAAGTAATGTCTTCGTAACCGTAAGAGAAGTAAGGATCCCTTTCTACGCCTTTAGGCGTATCGGGTATATGGGAAGAGCACCCCATATCTTGGGTAATGTGGTCAGGATTACGCCGGCCGTCTTTACTTCCCCAGGACGTATATCCTGGTACCCATTTTAGGCTAGATCGACCAGCGACGCCCCATACCATGATACAAATCCACGCAGCCAGAAGTGGATTTCAGCGGTACGTTGCAATTACGAGGCGGACTCGCAACGCCTAAGCCACGGACTCCGCTCTTCGTAACCGTACTGTGACTAATTTAAATTGTTACATGTTTGGAAAAGCATTTATATAAATACTATATATGGAATGAACAAGTATTGTCCTCAAAAATAATAATTTTGAGTAAATCAAACCTTGATTAATTGTTGATGCAATCAACCGGCAGGTTACCGCCATGGCGTGTAACAATGTGTCGCCCTGTTTTATGTTCTTAAACGTGTTTGTACGTTTAACGAAACTATTGCATCTATACCTTATTTTCATTGGCGATTAATGGTTAAGGACATTTGGCTAATGGAGCTTGTAATAAACATGAAGCATTGCGGCTTTGACCATAAAGGAATGGAATTATAAGGATTTACTTTACGATCTTGATATATCTATCAGTGGAGTTATAATGTATGTCTATGGCAGAAAAGATGATATTCTGGGTGAATTAGTTTTAATCGTGCGGGCTATATAGATTAGATGTTGTTACATCACCTAGAGTAACAAGAAGTAATCCTGAAGAGTAGGCGATGATGAAGATAAGCTGGAATTTGTGGTGAATGAAACACATGACATGGTCTTGGCTCTTCTGTTTTATTTCATTTTTGGAAGCATGATGTGACATTATGTTGATTACATGCGGTGCCTAATGAATGTCTGAGTATGTCATATGGTAATTTATGGTATGTGATTTGTACACGTGCACAATTCATTGTTAAAAGTGTGTTACCTAGTTTGTTTGTCTATTTGCAGGTGGCAGTACTGCCTGGGCAAAAAGTAGGGTGTTGCAGTTCGAAACCCAGAAGCTCCACCTTGTTCTTCGGTAAACTCATATCTTTTACATGATTACACTTAGGATTATGTATGGCTTAGTGGATGCAGTTGTTCAAAATTTGGGTCGCTTAAGGTTGATGGTTCAAAGCCACCAAGGTCCTCTTAATCATTAGTGGAAGCGGCTGAAAGTGATTCTGGAACTTTGGGAACTGGTAGGTCATTACCAGGGGGGTACGATACATTTTGTAGAGATGTTTGGATATTCAATTTTTTGCTTCTTTGATATGCCTTTCTCAATTGGAGGGACCATGCACAAGTAACAGTTGTTGATATGATCAGTGGACTCTTTTAACATCATTGGGACTGCAAAAGGCACAGCTTGTCTTTTGCCTGTCAACCAGCTCATTATGTGCTGCATTTGTATTGCGGCACATGTCTAGCGCTCAGCTAAAGCCTTGCTTGATCTATTCTGCAGCCCAAATACAAACTGTGCGGCTTTAATCACTTTAATTGTATTCCCTTTTTTGATAGACATGTCACCTCACCACGTGTATAACACAAACTATAAGTAATTACAAATTTTTTAAGAATTTCTAACTAAGATACTTTTAATAAAAACAAATCCTTGTGTGGGTTCCAGCGCAGTCCCAAAAGCATGTCGACTAATTGGGAGCTTCCTTCGAAGTCGGGATGCATCTGCCTGAGAGGCAAGGAACCAACAGTCTGCATACAAAGGAGTCAAATCTGTAATACGGATGCACACGCAACACTCAGGTTCTAGAACAATATTGCAGTGCAGAAGTGGACAATCCCCAGAACTTTCCGCCGGAGTTTACAGCTGGTGAACGCGAAGAAGAAGAAGAAGAAGAAAAACAAATACACTAGCCAAAAGAGATAAAATATGTATACAACAAGATGATTAATCATAGGTAGGATTGAATCGTCAGCTTTTACTTACATTTTTTATTATTCTTTAGAGAAAAAAATTTATGCAACCTCCTACAACTATGTCATAAATATATATATATATATATATATATATATATATATATGTATGTATATATATATATATATATATATTATATATATATATATATATATATATATATATATATATCATCATCATCATCATCAGGTGCCTTGCCGACTGGCGTGGGCGATCATGCCTCTCCATAATCCGCGATCTCCTGCAGCATGTATCAGTTCGTGTGCCGACACACCTCCATGCCATGCAACAAGACTGTCAAGCATCTTCTCTCGTTGTCTTCCTCTATCCCTCCTTCCACAGATCTTTCCAGTGGTCACAACATGTTCTATTTTCCCTCTTCTCATAACATGGCCGAAAAATGATGACTGTCTCCTTCTGATGTCAGTGATAAGTTGTCTTCGGTCTCCCGCCTCTTTTAAAATTCTTGGTTGCTCTTTTTGGCTGTCCAAGGTATTCTAAGCATTCTTCTGTAAAACCACATCTCTGAGGCCTCTAAAAATTGTTTGGCCTGCCTACCGATTGTCCAGGATTCACATCCATATGTTAAAACTGGATGTATGTAGCAAGCAAGAATTCTTTTTCTAACTCTCAATGACAAGGATATATTGCACAAGATGTTTTTAATTTTATAAAATGCAGTTTTTGCCTGTCCAATTCTGTTTCTTATTTCAGTTATGCATCTTCCATCTGATGTTATCCATGTGCCCAGATACTTAAATGGTGCAATGCTGCAGTATTTGCTTACGACACATATGAGGGTTTCCAGGAGGGAATGGAAACTGCTGCAGCCGCTATTGACTTAGAAGATGCGTACAACAGCGTCCCATACAACATGCTCATCAGACTGCTGTTGGATATGCAGATAGAAACAAAGTTGGTCAACTGGATCGCAGCAGCGTTTTTTGAAAGAACAGTGTCGCTTCGATGTGGTAAATGGGCATCCGAACCTCAACGAGTCCTAATGGGTCTGCCACAGGGATCACCACTGTCGCCTGTGCTCTTCAATGTCTACACAGCAGGAGTCACTAGTGCACAACGCGTAGGTCTAGGTAGAACAATGTCGTATGCAGATGATATTCTTGTTTACCGTCGAGGAAAAAACAGGCAGGAAATTACAACCACACTACAACACGAACTGGACAGACTTAGTGAGTGGTGCTAGGAATCAAGAGCTCAGGTGAACCCGTCTAAAACCTCCTCAACATGGTTCTCCCTGAATACTCACATCGCCATTACACCAACCCTAGTCGTAAGCATATGTGGTGTGGACATCGAGAGAACGGACATCGTGAAATACCTGGACATGTCATTTGACAGATGCCATATAAATGCCACGTAGACAACGTTATACTTAGAGCCACGAAAGGTCTGACAGTACTCAAGGTGCTAGCAGCAACTGATATTGAACAACGCCTATTTTTTTCTTCCCTTTCAAGGGCTTGTGTCAAGCGTCATTGACTATTTTTTTTCCTAAGCGTCATTGACTATGGTCTTGGCCTCCTCTCTGTCAGCAAAACCCAGCTAGAACGTCTGGACCGAGTACAAAATAATGCTGTGAGACTTACACTCGGCTGCTCAAAAGACACCTCCTACAACGCTACGCTTTATTTCCTGGGTTTGCCGACGATAACTAGCAGACACAAAATGGCACAGGTCAAGGCGTACGTTAGGGTATCGGCAGACGTTAACCACCTACTGCACAAAGCTATACACGGCACAAAAGGAACGCGTCTCCAAAGAGGTCACTCTTAGATGGCAAAGGCTGAGGATTTATTCCAGCAGGTATGTGACCTACGCGTTATCAGGCACGGAAAAGAATGGATGAATACACCAGTAGACATGCATGGCATCTCTAAGGTTGTCATCACACTAGGAAGGTACTGTCGGGATCAGATTCCTGCGGCCATAGACACAAAAGTAAGGGAACTGATAGATCAGCATTCAGACCCAGAAGATATCATCATCTACACAGATGGGTCCGTGAAGCGCGGATCAAGGTCAGCATGGGCATACACAGCGCAAAGAAGGGGGAAAACAATACATGAAGATAGCGGCGCTTACCAGACAACCACGTCAAGCATGACCATGGAAATAGCCGCTGCTTCTAGAGCTTTAGCATGGGCATCCGAGCAAACCGCCACACAAGCAGTAATTGTCTCAGACTCAATGAATATGCTTCAGAAAATAGCAACTGGCAGTATGCGCTCTGAATGGATAGAAAGCATTCGGAAATCGCACTTAACTTCCGTAACCTGAATCTACACACCGGGTCATGCGGGCGTAAAGGGAAATGAGCGAGCGGACCAACTGGCAAGCACAGCACTAATGATTGCGGGAAAAAGCATGGACAGAGCAGATATCGTTAACGCTGTACGTACTGGGCTAGTGGATAATATCGAATCCCTGACACTAACACGATTGCGTGACATGGGAGTTAAGCATGGTGAAGCACGTCTTTGCCGTCTGCGAGGCCGAGAAAGGAGACAATATAACCAGCTTCTCATGGGGACAATTAGTAGAAGTACTTTGGAGTGGCTGCTGCTTCGGAGGACTGCGCACGCATGGGTATGCCCAATGTGCAGTGACGTCGATTGTGATAACAAAACACAAAATAACATTTTGTAGGAAGTCGGCATTCCGAAACCCAAGTTCAAGGTGTCTCCTTCGTGCCAAAGAACTGCATGGCTGTTGGGTGAACAGTCGTTAACGAAGGCAGTCAGGTCGTTGTAGGGGCGACGCCTGCTGGTGGATGTAATGTCCTAAGTCCCTTTCCCAGCTAATAGTGAGGGTACTGCTGGGGTGACCATTTGTTAACCCCTCACATAATGCTTCAAGTCACAGTGGACGCTAGGCACGGCCACTTTTTTTTTTTTTTTTTAGCCGTGGCAGTTCTGCCAGGCGGTGGCCGTTGCATTTTTGCTCCATTTGTAGACTGGAAGGATATGGTTTCGTCACCCAGCTTCTGAGTTGAGTGCATGGTGTGACACTGTGAGCTACGAGTGTTTTTTTTGTTGGCACAGGAGCGGAGCAACAATGGGGTGACCCGTTTGCTATGATGCTGAAACTAGGATTACCAGATTACCAGATTACTTTAATTTCTGTACTTGTCTTAAAATAACACCATTGACTTTTATTACACATTTAGGAATAATTTGTTTCTTTGATACCACCATTACTTATATATATATATATATATATATATATATATATATATATATATATATATATATATACAAAAATATATATATATATACATACATATACCGTAATTAAGTAAACTATTTGCATAGATCGTGAAAAAAGAGACAGTCAATACTATTAATGTAAATTTCGTTTTTCAGCACACCGATATTAGTTAAGACCAGTTTTTATTTTTCTAACACGATTAGTTTTTGTGTTACTTTTATAGCGCAACTGGCGGTGCTGTCCATTCCACGCTGACTGCTGTTACTTCCGAGAACAGTGTCCGGTACTGAATTTAGACTGGTTTGTTCCGGAAGTGTTGGTCAGTTTTTTTTTAAATCCCGGTTTCCGTGGGAATTCGAATCCATGACAGACTGGTAGCCAGGAAAGAGTCAGGGTAAGTGCGCAGGCATAACTGGATGAATAGCAAATTAGCCAGGGAACTTGGCGATCATTTCTAGTATACTGACACATTTCAATTTGTTATTTCAACAGTGTAGGGTGTTGAACATCATCGTCATCATCAGCATCATCACCATTATCGTCACCATAATTATCACTATCGTCATCATCAAAATTATAACAACAATATCATTTCTAGTATACTGACACATTCCAACTTGTTATTCTAACAAAGTGCAGTGTTGAACATCATCGTCATTTCCATCTTCATTGTAATAAAAGGAATTCCCAGGGAGGTCCGAGGGGGTTTCTCAGATGACGTAGTGGTATTAGGGGCCAGTGAGAAACGGGTAAAGCAATGGAAGTGATATTCACGTGTGACGCTGAACAGTTACAAGACCAAATCCCGTGGGAAGGGAACAAGGGTTTTGAAAGACTAATAAGATAGCGGCAGTTGTTGGTTGACCGTGAGTGAGGCAAGTCTTTTTGTATGGAGTGAATGTTGATTGTGAGCTGAGGGTGTAAACGACCAGGAAGAGTTAGGACAACGATGGAATGACTCTTTTTTGACAGAGTACAATAAACTGTGTTAACGTCATCATTGTGTTTTGACTATACCTTTGTGAGTCCATATTTTACATCATAACGGAGGAGGTAGACAGTTGATATCAGCATACACTGAGCAAGACCAACAAAGTTGCAGTCATCATCATCACCAACATCGTTACCATAATCATCAGCATCGTCATCATCATCATGACAACAACTACATCATCCCCATCATCATCATGACAACAACTACATCATCCCCATCATCATCATGACAACAACTACATCATCCCCATCATCATCATGACAACAACTACATCATCCCCATCATCATCATGACAACAACTACATCATCCCCATCATCATCATGACAACAACTACATCATCCCCATCATCATCATGACAACAACTACATCATCCCCATCATCATCATGACAACTACTACATCATCCCCATCATCATCATGACAACAACTACATCATCGTCATCCCCATCATCATCATGACAACAACTACATCATCGTCATCCCCATCATCATCATGACAACAACTACATCATCGTCATCCCCATCATCATCATGACAACAACTTCATCATCCCCATCATCATCATGACAACAACTACATCATCCCCATCATCATCATGACAACAACTACATCATCCCCATCATCATCATGACAACTACTACATCATCCCCATCATCATCATGACAACAACTACATCATCATCATCCCCATCATCATCATGACAACAACTACATCATCGTCATCCCCATCATCATCATGACAACAACTACATCATCGTCATCCCCATCACCATCATGACAACAACTACATCATCGTCATCCCCATCATCATCATGACAACAACTACATCATCCTCATCATCATCATGACAACAACTATATCATCGTCATCATCATCATGACAGCAACTACATCATCGTCATCATCATCATGACAACAACTACATCATCCCCATCATCATCAAGACAACAACTATATCATCGTCCTCGCCATCATCATCATGACAACAACTACATCATCGTCATCCCCATCATCATCATGACAACAACTACATCATCCCCATCATCATCATGACAACAACTACATCATCGTCATCCCCATCATCATCATGACAACAACTACATCATCGTCATCCCCATCATCATCATGACAACAACTACATCATCCCCATCATCATCATGACAACAACTACATCATCGTCATCATCATGACAACAACTACATCATCGTCATCATCATCATGACAACAACTACATCATCATCATCATCATCATGACAACAACTACATCATCGTCATCATCATCATGACAACAACTACATCATCGTCATCATCATCATGACAACAACTGCATCATCGTCAACATCAAGGTCATCATCATCACTATCATCATCATGTTGCGCAGTTCACAAACACAAATGGCTCGTAGTTTTATACCTCCATGCCTTTCTTTTCTGCAGTCTGTTCGAAATCTTCTATGGAGTCTAGTCAGTACCCCCAACCAAGTATAGTAGTACCTCGGGTCAAGAATTTAAATCGTTTCTTGACTCCGTTAGCGAACCGAAATATTCGCGAAACGAAACAGTTTCTCTCATTGAAACTATTGCAAATCTATGTAATTCGTTCGACTGCACCAGAAACATATATTTTTTATTTATTTTTATTTATCCTATATTCGTTTTTTTTTTTTTTTTTTTTTTGCGAGTGGATGGGTATGGGGGGGGGGCACTTTTTGTGGATTTATGTGTAGCAACTATATATAATTTAACATATATAAAATACAATACTGAAAGCTTTCCCTTTAGCACTTTATTGTGTTTAAAAGCGTGTCGATTTTCAGAGTGGTAAACTCAAAGATGCTTAACCTTACAATCTTCACTTGCTTGCATTAGCGCACAATAAAAGTGGAAACCTGTCCTTTGTGACTTTTCCTCTTAGATTATGTAGGTCCTTCTTACCATTTATTCCAGGAAGGGGGGGGGTGGGGGAATCACATTTCATCGCAGTTAAAAGCTTTATGCGGTGTCTCTTGTCCTCTCCCCGTGGGTTGCAATTTTTTTTTTTTTTGGAGCCCTAACCTGGCTTCTGCCTGGGGCCCTGAATATAGCTGGGGCATAGATATGGCCTAGCCATAGATATGGCCTAACGGCTGAAAGGAATTTCTGGGACCTCTCCACGGGTGATCCTCATCCGCATGGTAGCACTTTGTGTCACCAGGTGTTTATCGCCTGTGATATCCTGGTGGGGTACAACCTACCTACCTACCTACCTTTATGCTGTATCTTCTTCTTTATGTTCACGGCTGTAAACTCCTGCGAAAAGTACTGGGTGTTTCGTCCACCTCCGGACGATACAGAAACAAGAGCGTACCTGCCAGTAGGTCTTCCGTCCATACAAACATAAACATCGTCGTCCATGGGGAAGGTATCGCTGGAGTCTGTGATGATAATGACCCCATCAGGGGTGATCACCATGTCGTTGAGATGCACAGGTGGGCGGCCATTGATGGGCGTGCCGACTGGATACATTAGCCTGATGTCGCCTGAATGAAGTCAACCACGCACAGTTAGCGACAATTTGCAGCAGATTTAGGGGAAATCATGTCCTATAACTTGTCGATTGTTTGTTAATTATTCCTTTTCACTTCAATTCATTCTTCCTTTCTTCTTCTTTCTTTATCTTACTTTAGTCCTTTTTGACAACCTCTTCTTCTTCTTCATCTTCTTCTTCTTCTTCTTCTTCTTCTTCTTCTTCTTCTTCTTCTTCTTCTTCTTTTATTTCTTCTTCTTCTTCTTCTTCTTTTTCTTATTCTTCTTCTTCTTTTTCTATATTCTTTTATTTTTTCTTCTTCTTCTTCTTCTTCTTCTTCTTCTTCTTCTTCTTCTTCTTCTTCTTCTTCTTCTTCTTCTTCTTCTTCTTCTTCTTCTTCTTCTTCTTTCTTCTTCTTCTTCTTCTTCTTCTTTCTTCTTCTTCTTCTTCTTCTTCTTCTTCTTCTTCTTCTTCTTTTTACTTCTTTTGTCTTCTTCTTCTTCTTCTGTTCCTTCTTCTTTTTCTTCTTCTTCTTCTTCCTCTTCGTCTTCTTCTTCTTTTATTTCTTCTTTTTCTTCTGTTCCTTCTTCTTTTATTTCTTCTTTTTCTTCTTCTGTTCCTTCTTCTTTTTCTTCTTCTTCTTATTATTATTGTTATTATTATTATTATTATTATTATTATTATTATTATTATTATTATTCGTTGTCGTCGTCCTCCTCCTTTTTTGGGTGTGTTTTTCTTCTCCCCCACCCCCCGCCCTTCCCTTCTCCATTACCTCCTTTTCCTGTCCTGTCTAATGCTAATAAATAAAACATAATGCTTTTACTTTAAGCAGCGAAGCATGTAATATTTAAAAGTATACACACAGATACCGATACGCACTCGCACTCACACACACACACATACACCACATATACAGTGCTAGACAACAATTTTATAGACCAGCACATACACTCACACACACACACACACACACACACACACACACACACACACACACACAAATACACCACATATACAGTGCTAGACAAAAATTTTATAGACCAGCACATACACTCTCACACACTCACACACACACACACACACACACACACACACACACACACAAATACACCACATATACAGTGCTAGACAAAAATTTTATAGACCAGCACATACACTCTCACACACTCACACACACACACACACACACACACACACACACACACACAGACCATGTCTTTGTTAGCTTTTCCCACATTTCTCTGAGCCAGCGATTTCCAAACTGTCCATGATGACGACAATTTTTTTTTTTTTTAACAAACACAATTTTGCGACACAGTAATTCAGTTGACGGTCAAAGCAGAGGTTTTTAATGTGCCGATCATTCTGTTTATCTCCTTACGTTCGTACGACACGCTTTCACACTGCAGTCGCCACATGAATGTATCGAGACCAGTGCTTTTGTTCTCCTGCAGTACACAATGGAAGCTGTTTTGGTCTATCTCTAATAGAAACTTTGTGGTGAGTACCGGCACCTATTTTAGATATTTTTAGGCGAGTACCAGTATATTTTTTGCTAGAAAAAAAAAAAGCCCTGGTCGTGACACACAGTTTTGGAAAGCTCTGCTCCAAGTTGACAATTCAGTTTTGTCATTTCGTTTCCTGTCCATTATATTATCTAGCATTTTGCATGACAGCGCGGTTCTCTCCTAAGCTAGTCAGTTTGTGGTTTAATAACTTACCGTTACAATATGTTTCGTATGCACGAAAACTGCTAACAACGGTCGGACATGACATAGCAAACAGGCAAAGCACCTACTGAACATAATCCCGTCCCATTTATCTTTTTCTTCTTCTTTACGTTCACAGGCTGCAAACTCCTGTGACAAGTGCTGGTTGTTTGTCCACGTCAGGGCTTTAGCCCTGTTCCAGAACCTCAGTGTTGCGTGCACATATGTTTTACAGATCTAATTTATTTGTATGTAGACTGTTGGTTTCTTGCCTGTCTGACAGATGCACTCAGAGTTCGAAGAAAGTCCCTAATTAGTCGACTCATACGAATATGATTTTGGAGAAGGCACTGGCTTATTCTTGTTTTTCCCCAAAAGTTTTCTTCGAGCCCTCGTCATTCTCAAAACATCTGGGTTGCTCTGTTTGGCTGTCAACAGAATTCTAAGGATTCTTGTATAGAGCCACATATCTGAGGCCTCGTGAAATTGTTTGGATTGTTTATTAATTGTCCAGGATTCACAGCCAAATGTTAAAACTGGCTCTACATATCATGAAAAAAATCTGTTTCTAACCTCCAGCGACATAGATTTATTGCAAAAAATGTTTTCATTTTATCAAATGCAGTTTTAGCCTGACCTAGTCTGTTTCTGTATCTGTGAAACATTTTTTATTTGATATTCGCCATGTGCCTACATCGATCACCGATGGGTCTGAAACATGTGACTCTAGCAGGATAAACCAGATACGCCACTAGTGTAAATTGGTTCCTTTAGTTTTACATCCCTCGTGGGATGCAATTTTTCGATATTTAGAAGCCCCACCTCTGCTGCTGACGGGAGCCCTTATATAACCTAACGGTGGAACGGGGTTTCCGGGACCTCTCTCCGGATAATCTCCATTCGCATGGTGGCACTTTGTGTCACCGGGTATTTATCACTTTGTGTGATGTCCTGCTGGGGTAAACCTTACTTACTTACTTTAATTTGCACACTGGAGTCATTAGCTGGAAGGTCACGCGAAATGATCATACATCAAGGTGAAGATATACAAGATAACAGAAGAGACCGTTTTTTATAGTCAGTTTCGGAAGTCGTGTCTAACTTTAAAATCTGTAACTCAGTAAAAGTTAAGTTTAAGTTGTTGAAATTTGGCATGCAGTTTGATAATAAACCCTTCTTTTCTAAAAAAAAAAAAAAAAAAATTAATAAAAAAAAAGGTTTTTTTAATATAAACAAACATCTAGTTTTTATTTTAACAGACACCGAGCGAAAGCTAACAACATCAAGATGTTTACAGTTAAATGGGATAAGGAAAATTTTCAAAATATCACACTGCACTCGTTTCATAGGTGTTTCACTATCATGTCATTTCCAGCATTAGCCCCCGAGGAATTATATAAGCATACATTTTCGTTGTATGCGGGATAGACTGTCACAATAATCATCATGCATTGCACTAGTGAACTGATTTTCAAACAATCTCCAGGCGTGTGTCAATTACTATATATATATTTTTTTATCAGGGATACACCAATTATTGTTCAAATAAAAATCAATTGTAAATTAAAATATCGTAAGGACATGTGAAATCTAAGGTCACATGCAAAAACTCGTGATAAACCATACAGGATTTCTCGATATTTTTTAATTTTTTTTTTTATGTGAGGGCACAAAATTTAAAACGCACTAAAGCCACTTTCCCTTGTTTGCGGTATACAAAGAGGACGTAGACAAACATACCAGTTTCAGGCTGAACCACAAACAGTCCCCTGTAGATATCCAGGGCTAGCAGTGTTTTACTTGCAGGTATACAAAGAGGACGTAGACAAACATACCAGTTTCAGGCTGAACTACAAACAGTCCCCTGTAGGTATCCAGGGCTAGCAGTGTTTTACTTGCAGGGTCGAGGCGTAGACTTGTTAACTGTCCACACGAGTATATGTCCACTGTTAAAACACAATTTACAAAAAATTAATATTAGCATGTGTCTGCTGAAAACATTCATAATTACCATCAGGAATGCTAGTATCGACACGTATCAACATAAGTCTCATCGGATCAATACTGACGATTGATTGTATCGATGAGAAATCATTTTTTTTTTAAATATTGAATAATAACACAAAAGTGGTAGAGTCAGAAAAGACACCTTTTTGGTTTCCATTCAGCAGTACTGATTTGACATTATAATTAAAAAATTGTAATTTTTTCTTTTTTTAACTTTCACAAATTTCCTAGTGCTATGAACGCATCTCTTGCCTTTTATATTCGTATTTTAATATCTCTATCAGTTCCCCCATCTTCATCTACACTACTGCCCAAATTGGTGTAGGACTCCAAGTCTTGGAGTGAGATACCATTAAGAGAAACCACATCACTATTTGCCTGATCTATTCTCATTAACTTTGTCTTTCCCTTGAGTATTTTTAGGCCTAGCTGTTGTGATCTTGCCTCGAGTGTGTGTGTGTGTGTGTGTGTGTGTGTGTATGGCCTTCTTATGTGTTTATACTGGCCTTAGTTAACTTCTGCTGGGATACCATCTGGAACTGCTACCTTTCCTTCCTTCAGAAGTTTGATAGCTTTCCTAATTTCCTCTTTATATGTGTAATGACTGCCCTTTTGTGTCTCCTCCACACTGGCTATCTGTGGTGCAGAGTTAACACTGGCTCTGAGTCTAGAGGTTCACAACTCAATCAAATCAGACATGATCCTCTTCACGGTCACACAACGTCTAACAACGGTTAACACCAGCGGCACATTTCACGAGTTTATTTACACGTTAGCTCAATACACAAATCACAGGTGAATCCACTTACAGCATTCAGACAATAGACGTTGACATATTCACAGCTGGCTTTGACAATCAAACAGGGTACCATTTACAGCTGGCCTTCTCGATCATTCATTCCTCGCCGATTCAGATCCACATGCTCTAGTCATTCTCCATTCATCTTCACAGCTTCATTTTCCATCCTTTCTCTCTGGGGCCCAGTCACCGAATGCCCGCCTGATTCTCAATCCCCCAGATCTCCTCATTCACACGTGACACACTCTTTCCTGTCGTTTCACCATATCTCCGTGAAACACACGCTCTCAGGGACTTCCCCAGTTATGCCAATCATCCCCTGACATTATCCCTATTTATAACATCATTACAATATGGTATCTCACACTTGATCCAGTTCCGTTTCTGGATATCTGGAGAAACCTCTGGGCCTGGTCTCTTCAGGAGTATTTTAAAATATTCAGCCCATCTGTGCATTTGATCTTTAGTGTTGGTAAGTACCTTTCCTTGACTGTTTTTATTGATCCATTTAGCTAACTATATTTACCTACTTATTTCTCCTTGTGTTACTGTAAAGATCTCTTGGGTTTCCTTTTGCTGCTGCTGTCTCCGTTTCTTCTGCTAGGTCATCTAAATATTTCCTTTTATCTGCCCTTTTTCCTCCTTACTTCTGTGGCTTAGGCGTTGCAAATGAGTTTTGTAATGCCGAGGTGCTAGGTTTCAATCCCAGCTAAGGATGTGTTGTCTTGCGCTGATTTCGACAGTGGTACCGAAAGCTGACCGTTCAGTTGCAATGGCAAACTACTGAAGTAACATTTGCCTACATAAACTCTAGTGACGATCCCAAAAAAGCATTCCCTGCTGAGACCGCACTACCAAACTACCAGTTAAAGCCTTTATTGTGCCACTTTTTGCGGTGTAGACGGTGGGGTCCGAGGGGGGTGGGTAGTCTTTTGAGCCTGAGATTAACGGCCGCATGTCTAGTGCTGTTCGCCACGGACTGTTCAGGTGCGAATTTTTGTTTTTAGAAACCGCACTGGTAGACTGGAAAGACGCGTCAGTGAAACAAATCTGCGACCTTCAGATCCTGAGGCAAACTGCTTGGTCACAGGGACCCTATTCCACCTCACCCCCCCCCCCCCCCCATTTCCCTTCCCCCACCCCCCGTCTTCTCGCGTCATGTATGATTTCTCCTGTATAAAAATATTTTTTTATTTTTTAATGGAACATTCTTTATTGTGATTTAACATATAAATTCAGTGACAGCAGTGTACGCAAGATATCTAAAAAATTACTTACAACATCCTGGAGGAGAAAGGTCGGCAATGAGCCGCGGCGGGCAGCTGGCCAAGTCAAAGATCTTGTTGTCGACCGTGCTGGCGTAAAGATGTCCTATATATATTGATCAATAGAATTGGTTTAGTGTTAGATACAATTTCTGTATTTAAGAAGGTATTAGTTTCTGTTAGTATGCTTTTATTTTATTACTAAATTACATATAACTTTTTAACTAAGTGGCTGTGTGCGAATTTTTTTTAAAAGATGTCATACTACCGTGTCTGCTGCATGCCTCCCGATAGTAGAATATAACACTAACGTCTGTTATATTTGCTTGAAGACAAACTAGGGACAAGAATACAGACACCAAATAAATGTTGCCTTCATAGATCAAGATAAGGCCTTTGATAGAACAGTCTAAACAGAGAATTACTTAGGGAAGTCCTGAAAAAATTATGGGGAAAAAAGAGTGAGGGGGAGAGAGAGAGAGAGAGAGAGAGAGAGAGAGAGAGAGAGAGAGAGAGAGAGAGAGAGAGAGAGAGAGAGAGAGAGAACATTGATAGACTGCACATTAGCCGTCTCTTATTAAAGAAAAAGTGCCGTTAGACCAAAAGATGACCTTCAGATTGATTTCCATTAACTTCCGGCGTAAGACAGATATGTGCTTAGCATCTTGGCTTTTTATAATATTATGAGCAATGTCAACAAAATGTCACCAGCTGGAGATGAACAGAAACATTTCAACGAACTCCTTTTCGCCGACGACCAATGCCTTTTTCACATATGATAACAGAATGGACAGAGAAACTGAAACAAGAATCCAGCAAGCCAACGATATCACGTATCAAATGACCCCAGTTATGGACACCCGGCTATCCAAATAAAGATAAAAGACAACATATAAATGTAGTCATCATACCAGCCTTGTGCTATCAGTGTCAGACTTGGACATTGACCAAAGAACATGAAAGACAAAGTAAACAGCAGCGAAATTGGATGATTGAGAAAGGCCATGAATAAAACTAGAGGAGATCATGTGAGAAACGAAGAAATCAAAACAACTATTAGAACAACACATATAATTAATTTCATTTAAAACCAATGACTGAAATGGTTTGGCCATTTAATGAGGTTAAATCCAATGATGCTAGCAACGAGAGCGTACAGCATGAAAGTAGAAAGACCAAGAGGTAGAGGACGACCAAGAAGTAGTTGGATTGAAGAAGTTACTGATAACCGAAGACTCCACAGCATCACAGCATATCCGACATGTATTCTCTACATTTAAAAAAAATTATTCTTGGAGATGTGAAGGCGGCCGGCAGGATGTTGACCGCATTACCCACCCAGTGCCGATTGGTCTATAAAATATAGTTCTAACATTAAATACCGAATACGCCTATAGTCGTGGAAAAGGGTCCTTTGCTTTTACAGTTGATCTAATAATGTTAGCAAAAATGATTATTATTATTATTATTATTATTATTATTATTATTATTATTATGTTTGATTTTTAATTTTGTAATCATTTGACACTAATACATCATTTCTATCCATCACATTATTTCTATCAAGATAAGGGTAATATCTCCATTCTGTCAAAAGGCTGGACATATTTCTTTAAATGAGATAGAAATAATGCCTTTCTATCGGAAGACTAGAAATATCTCTTCTAGCAGTCATCGTCATCAGGACCTTTGCCGACTAGCGTGGGCGATCATGCCTCTCCGACTCTTGCGATCTTCAACAGCATATAACAGCTCATTTGTTAACACCCCTTAATGCCATGACAAAAGACTGTCAACAATCGTCTCCCGTTTGTCTTCATTTGTCTCTTTTCCACGGATATTTCTAATGGTCTCAACATGTTCCTGTCTTCTTCTTCTCATAACATGAACCCAAAGTGACAAATGTCTCTCTCTCTCTCTCTCTCTCTCTCTCTCATTCTTCCTCTCTCTTCTCTCTCTCTCTCTCTGCTCTGTTTTGTTTGTTGATAAGTTGTCTTCGCGCCCTCGCCTCTTTCAAAACAGCTGTGCTGCTCTTTGTTGCCTTTCAATGGAATTCTCTAAGGAATCTTCTGTAAACCCGACAACTTCGATGTCGATGCCTCAACAAATTGTTTAGGCTTATTTGTTAATTGTCCAGGATTCACAGCCACATGTTAGACTGACACTATACAACAATAAGGCTGTGGGGAAAAAACTCCCTTCTATCATTGTTTTGGCAATATCTCATGTTTATCACTTGGCTGGTAATTTTCTTTCTGACTGTGGGCAGGAAATATGTTTTATTTCTGTCATAGGGCTGTAGTAACTTTTCTAGTTTTCCCGTATATGATAATTCCCTTTACAATGTATTATTCTTTTTAATAAGTCTTTCTATTCTTAGCTCGCATGATACTTATGCGTAATAGCTAACGATTTCGCTACCTTTGGAACAATGATTTTCGTTTGTTCTATGCCCCTACCCACACCACTAAACTAAATTATCCTGGCTCCCCCGTCGACCCATCCTGGAGTGGTTACCAGGTACGTCCCTATGAAGTAAAAGCGGCGAGCAGGATGTTGACTACATTACCCACCGAGTTGCCGATTAATCAGTAAAATATAGTAGTCGTCGAAAATGGTCCTTCACTGTTACAGTTTGATCTCACCACTGTTAACTAAGAGTAGTATAGTAGTAATTTTTACCCCACTAGGACATCAACCAAGCGATAAACACCCGATGACACAAAGTGCCACATGGCGGATGAGGATCACCCATGGAGAGTCCCAGAAACCGCGTTCAGCCATTAGAACCATATTTATAGCCGGCTATATTGCGGCTCCAGGGTGTGCGTTCAAAGTTAACGAAAAATTGCATCCCACAAGGGGATGAACAGGTAATAACTAAACAGTACCGTCCGTGGTTGGACCAACGAGCTGGCCCTTTGACGAGGTTTTCTGGTGAACCTTCTCTGCATTCTGTCAGGAGAGTGTTGGATGCAGTTGGTCCTGCCAGTGTTGTGGCGTCTGAGTCTGTAGAAGATGGGTTGGCCAGTTTGTTTAACACATCAATACTGTGTTGGTTTATCAATATATTACGTTGTCTAAGGTAAATAGGTATATCACAACACAGGACCAGTTGTCACGTAAATGTATACAATTACCCAGACAAAAATGTCACAGAAATGTTTACATCCCACAAAAAAACATATTATCAGATAATGTTATATCCACAACAGAAGACAATGTTACATAAATGTTTTACATCGCTCGGAAAACAAGTTACATACTATTATATCACAACACCGTGAAAATGAATGTTACAGTAATGTTACAACACACAAGGAAGACAATTCTACCAAATGTTACATCTCACAGAAGAACAATGTTAAATCACATTACGAAACGCCCAAGACTGTCAACTGTTTACCATGCTTCATGGTTAACAGTCCACACAGGAGACATATCCCACTGCAACCTAGAACTGTGTCACATACGTAGTTACATGGAATCCATACGCAATCACATAGATGGTTACATTGCACTCTACTCGATTTGTACTTTTGCATTTTTTTTTTTTCCAAAAGGGTTTGTTTTGGGAACCCTTTTAAGTAACACCAAATTTAAATGAATTTCAATATTTTTGCCCGGGGCATATTTGTTTTTTTTGGTGTATAAAACTGGGTTTTTTTTAAACCCTTTCCCCAAAGCTAGGTTCTGGAATTTTTCTCTTCGGGGGGTGATCGGCTTAGTGAAAACTTTTCTGCTATTTTTGGCAATTTTGGGAATCTTTTTCGTTCTCTCAGTGTCTGTGTCCCTCTCATTTTCCCTCCATTTCTAAAAAGGGGGGTTGATTTGAACAGGGGTTGTTTAATTCCCCCTTTTGGGTTTTTTTTTGAAACTTTGTCCAACCCCTTTTAATGGGGTTTATTTGGATGAAATTGACTCATTTTCTAAGTGGGGTTTTGAAATGCTCTGTTTGTTACTTTATTGAGCTTTTTCCCACGGCTCCCCTGGGGTTTTCCATTTTTTTTTTTTTTTTTTTAAGTATAATCTTTTTTCCTCCTGGCTTTGGTTGCTCCCTTTTGATATGTTTTTCCCACGTCAGCCTGCCCTCATTTTTGGGGACTCCAAGGAAACGGGGACTTTTTTATCATCTTTTTTAGGGGTTTTTTTCGTTTTTTTTAAATTATCCCCTGCCTTTTTTTTTTAAGGGGGTTGAAGTTTGGAAATTCCCTAATTTGTCTGTTTTTAATTTCTGACAAAACCTCTATTTTCCAATGCAACAAGTGCATCTGTACTCCTTTATTTTTTCTTGGGGGGCTACCTCTGAATGTTCTTTGGGTGCCCCCCGTCCCAAAGGTCGTGGGCCTTTTCGTTGTCTTTTTTGTTTCCCTTTTGGTATTTCAGAACCAGTATGTTGTGCATTGAAGGTAAACCCAAAAAAAAAACCAAAAATTTTAAAAAACGGCCCACCGGGGGTGGGATTTAGACTTTCCCCAAATTTAAAAGGCCACGCAAATTTCACTAATGGCAAATTTTCCCTTTTATTCTTTTTCGCCCTTTCCCTTCCCATAAAATTCCCTAGACAAATTTTAAAAACTGTGTTGTATTTTGAAATTTAAGGGAAACACTGACATCCTCATCAGAGTTTTTTCAGCTCATTTTACTCTGGGGGGGTTCAAATTTTTGAAACCCCCCGGTCGTCCCCGGCCCAAAAGGGCCCAGCCCTCCCAAAAAAAAAGATCTTCCCAATAAAACGGGCAAATAAATCCTTGGGCCATGGGGGTTTTTTTCCTCGGTGGGTTAAACTAAATTTCTCTGCCCTTTCCCTGATCTGACGTCGAGGGGATTTTGACTTAAACCATTTTTGCCCCCAAACCCATAGCGGCCATTTTTAAAACGTGTTTGGGGGGTGTTGGGGAGCCTTTATGGGGGGGGACAGTTTGAGGAAAATAACCCGGGGGCAAAATCCAGTGAAATTTGGAAAAAAAAATAACATATTAAAAGCATTTGTCTGAAAAACCCCACACAGGGCTCCAGAACTGGCTAAAGAAAGACAAACTTTCAGGGGGTGACGTGGGCGCCCTTCTGTGAAGGGCCCCTGCGGTTTATGGTTAACCCGGGCAC